GACGTGGTGTACAACGCCGTGCACCGGGCCGTGTGGGACGCCTTCTGCGCCAACCGGAGAGCCGACCGCGTCCCCATCTCCTTCAAAGTGCTCCCCGGCGACCACGAGTACCCCAAGTGCAGGACGAAGGTAGCGAGCGGCGTGTGCCCCGGCTGCTCCCCGTCCAGGCGGGCCCGGCCCCTCAGGGGGTTCAAGCCTCTGCCCTCGAAGCAAAAGCCAGCGGCTGGCTGCGGGGGGGTCAGGGAGAGGGTGGGTCCCTCAGGGCCCCTGAGGGCAAGGGCCATAGCAAGGGGCTGTTGTGATCTGCCTGGCTTGCAGGCAGCTGAGCAGCACTCGCAGCGCGTGCCGCTCAGCCGGACTTCTGCTGTCTTTCCCCGCGCTGTTGGAGGGGAAGCGTGGGAGCTTGAAGCCTGAGAAAAATTGTCAGGGCTAAGAGGAAGCCCAGGGCGTTGTGGCAGAGTGCTGTGGATGCATAGGAATCCAGGGTGCCTTAGCTCAGTAGCGAGAAGCAGAGAAAGCCAATATGACTTGCTTTTTAAATCCTTGCTGTTCATTTACTCAGCATTAAGGTGTGCTTGTAAAATTTGAGCTTTAATGAAACCCAAAGTTTAACTCTGGAGAAACTAGATATTTGACATTGCTGTATTCTGAAAAAAATGTGAAGCCTTTAACTAAGTGCAATGCAGCAGAAAGAATATCTCTGCTCTACTTTCTGCTTTGCAGTGGCAATTAGGAAGCAATGTCAATGGGTTTAACCCTTGGAAAACTACATAATTCTGTGATGCTGGCAAGGAACAAGAATCCTAACTGGTTTCTCCTGGCTCTGTTTGAGAGCATCTCAAGAGCCCCCTTTTAAAATAAACCTAACTTTTCATGAAGGTGTGTGAAACATGCTTCTGAACGTGACTTTTTTATCCAGTCTACCTGGAATCTGCTGATACCTATGTTGCTGATATTTCCGGCATAGGCCCTGATGCCAGGGAACAAGATGTATGTCTTGCTCGATAGGAAGCAAAAGCTTGAGGGGAAGAATGTTAAAGGAAAGATGACAAACATATCCACAAGTAACAAGAATCTAGAGGCATTTCCCCTTTTCCTGCTACACTAAGAAGCCAGTAAATGGATTTGGTAGCTTGCTTTAATAACCTCAATATTTTCAGAGGACATCCTATGAGTGGTATATTCCAAAAGGAATCCTGAAGACTGGTTGGATGAACAAACATCTGAATTTGGTTCCCGCACTTGTTGTGGTGTTCTATGAACTAGACTGGGATGAGCCGCAATGGAAAGAAAAACAGTCGGAATGTGCTACTCGAGTTGAAATTGTCAGGTAGAGTTTTTTCGCTTAGTTTGTAATGTACTGCAAGCTAATGGTAAATGTGAATTGCAGAGTCCTTTTTGCATTCTAAGACAAATAAATATATTATTTTCTTCTTAGAAACAAATTAAGATGAACTTGAACTTTGCTTTTTGGAGTACAACTGACAGTAATTTTTTTTTAAATGGTTTATTTTAAAAAGTCGCTTAAGTAAAAACAGCCTCTGAAATTTTGCTTGCTAAACTCAGCACAATCATTCTGTCCCCTGTGAACAAAGAAGAGAACACAGCGTTCTGTGGATGATGCAGCACGTTGTTGTGTTTGGTTTTATTTCTCACATAGCATTCTTTCAATGCTTCTATCTAGACTGAAATATCACTTTGTTCTGATTATTCACAAATAAGAAGTGAAACCTTGACATTGTGCCCTGTTGTTTTTATTTTAGGCAAAGTTTGCAGGGAAGAAATACAAAAGTTGCTGTGGTTTTGATTCAGAAAAAAACACCGTTACCTCCAGGTACTAGAAAACTCTGTACACGGTTGTGATGATCTCATTTTTCAGAAGGCTTGACAGACTGAGCTGACTATCATTTGTGACATTATCTTCAGTTCTTAATATAACATCATCTGCATACATGACATGCATTGTGGGTGCAGGAAGGTATACACGTAGAAAGAGTTCTCAGGGCAGGTGACCCTAAACATTTGATACTTTTATCCTTAACTTCTTCCCCTTAAGTCCAAGTCCATCTTTTGATACACAGTATCAAAAAATGGTATGTTAGTATACACAACATGCCTTCTTGTACGTAAGTTGTATTTTAAACCTTGCTTGAGATCAAGAAAAGCTGTAAAAGCAATGAGAACTTAGAGGAAGAGTATTAAAACATGTGGTATGTTTTAACCTTGTGTTTCTGTAGAACTGCTGCTACAGCTGTAGCTGCATACTTTCTAGTGTCTGGCAAACAATTTCTTATTTTTTGTTGGGTTTTTTTTTTTCCCCCTCTACCTGCTATATATGCTTGTCTTTTCTGGATGCTGTTGTAGTTTTCAAGACATGGGATATTTAATTCTGTGAGAGAGATGAAAAATTTGTTATACTTCTACCTTGTTGCTAGCTAAGCCACTCCTAGAAAGTTTCTGCAATGTGTTCTGCTGGATGATGAAGCACGTAGTACTCTGAAAGAAATAAGAAAGAATGTGGTCTCAGTTTTATGTGTATTAGACTTTTCCAATACTTGTACTGGTCAAGCTTTTAGAGCTAGTTTGACATTGCAGCACTGCATACTGCTTACTTGTGCTTTCCTTGACTTCACTAGGGGAAGATGTTATTGCATCAGAGAGGGCAGCGGCTTTATGCAATGCTTGTGACCTTTCTGGAAAATCCCTCTTTGTGCTTCCACACACTGATCATCTCGTTGGTTATATTATAAGGTAAGTGACTGTAAAACACTGTTTTGCTCTGTTTACTGACAGGTGTTGAGAGAGTTGATAGGTTGGGATGACTATGATGTGGCATGGTGACTGTAGATCAGCAGTGAATATTTTATTTTATTATTCCAGTTCACTGGAATTCTTTAGGTTATTCTGCAACCTGATGAATAGCACACAGCTCCCCTTTCTCTGTGAGGTTGAGAAATGACTGTCAGAGATGTTGCTTTTGAAGAAACATTATTAGATATCCCAAGACGTTCCCTTCCTCAAGTCAGGTAGAGTCGAAGTGGGCTTCTATACAGTGGTTTTGGCCCTGCTGGTTCTAAATAGCTTTCCCGACAAATGTTTTGTTAGGTGTAACTCTGTATTAGCAGGTCTTTACTTCCCCCCCGCTTCCTGGCTGTATAGGTATCTTTCTTTCTATTTATGCTAAGTGGCGTTTATCTGGTTGCAAATATTATGTCCTTGCCATTTTTTACATTTCTTGTGCTTTCTCTTTTAATATTTACAGGGAATACAGCTTCAAATAAATTAAGAAGGCCTTTCAAAAACAGAACAGGGAAAGGAAGACAGTCTAGTGTAGACCTAAAAAGAAGGGCTTAAACCAAGGCAAATCATGGTTTATTAAAATTAGTTCTAATTTTTCTGGATATGCTTAGGGAGAGAAAGAGTCATGGTCTGAGAGACTAATTCTTCCTTCTCTCATCCTCGGATTTATATATAAACAGCAAGGTTTTCAACATAAATCAGTGCTGTTGTATCCATGCTGCTCATAAACAGCTACTAGAATTGATCAAAATAAAGTAACCATTACATCTAGTTTTTCAAATTTTGCTCAGTGCTAAAGAGGGAATGTTTACTGCATGTTAACTAGTGTAAGCCTTTGCAGACTGCATATAGTTGCGTTTTGAAATGTGATTTGCAACTGTCTCCAAGTTTGTGAAGATAAGGCTATATCATCACGGATTAATAGCTCTTCATGCACATTTAAGAAAAATATGTTTGAGCATATAATCATGTCAGAATTCCTGGTAGTAATCTTTTTGTTTTGACATTTTTTAATTGAGATTTCGTAGTAGTAAAAGAGAATAAATTTTTTTACCTCTCAGACTGGCTTGTCTTTTCTTATACAGCTGCAGTATACTGCTAAAATAAGTATAATAGCTAGACTTAATTTATCTTGTCTTCCTTTTGTGACTGAACTCATAGTTAACAGTTGCTGTCCATTGGTCTGTCCCATTGTTTTCATCTCCATCCTCTCTGTTGTGTGGTGAGCAGAACACCAAGTTGTGATCTGCCTTGATTAAAGTCTGCAGTGATCCTTTGGCCAAATCACAGAACTGGTACTTCATCCTTTATTTCCTGTGTGCATCAGTGCTCTTGAATGTATTCCTCTCCTGGACTGTGGCCTTGTTATAGTTGATTTTACTCCTTACAATTTGATCATACAGCATATGCTTCCTAGATCCTCCTCAGCCTCATACTGTATTCAGTGTTCTGGGCCTCTTTGTCTTTCTCTTCTCCGCCTGTGACTTGCCATCGGGCTATTTATCTTCCAAACACAAGTTCGACTGTTACCTCTGTAACTCAGGTAGCTGTTGATGTTTGGACAGAATGATGAAACCTAGTCTGTGCCCTCATAATTTTATTTATTGCTATTTTTTCTTCCCCACTCCTCCCCCCACAGTCCAGCAAATAAGTCTGAACAGGTCAAGATCTTATCCCAGGAGCCTCTGCAAAATTTGCTTGTTTTGACTGATGTGTCTCTCTACTTTCTGTTGCCTTGCAAAATCCTAACAGCTTATCCTCAGGCTTTCTCATGTTAAGTACTGGAGATCGTTGTATAAGAAATCAAGCCATAAGGCTCTTGAACTTACTTGTTCTACACTGTACTACCCCTGTGTAAAGCTTTGTGTGAAGAGGTTTTGTCTGCAAACTCTTACCCTGTGTGGTAACTTAAAGAAGAGTTTAGTAATACCTCAAGCTTCTTTTACCAACCTTAAAATAGGCATGGTTAAATGTAACTTATTCTGAAGTTCTTCAGATTCTTTGTATATGGGAAAAACTTAGTGAAACTTATGAGCAACTTTGTTGCAGGTTGGAAAATGCTTTCTATGAGCATGCACAAACTTACTATTATACAGAAATACGAAGAGTTAAATCTCATAAGGAGTTCTTGAACAAAACCACTCATCAGGTAATGTTACCCTATTTTTGAAATACTGTGCAAGTTATAGTGCATGTTAAAACATGAAAATAAGGGTTGTTTGTTGCTTAAATGTTTTTATTCCCCCTCTTCCAACTTGAGATGCCTTCTCTCGGTATAGAAATTAAATCTGGTTTTATTTTCTGTAACTTAAACTTTGATTTTGATTGGTTTTGTTCTTACGTTTATTTGTCTTCCTCACATTTTCCTTAGAGGAAGAGCCACAGCCCAAAAATGAAGTTCTCTGATTAAAAAAAAAAAAAAAAAATTTAAATTTTCTATGTGGGTTAACCTATTTGAATGTAGTATCTTAACAAGTTGTGGGAAGTGCTTCCCTTAGAGGCTCAGAACTTAAACTTGCCCTTGATTTGGCTTTTAGCTTTTGCTTTTCAGATTGTTAAATATCTGCTCAGACACACAATGTTCGGTTGCGATTGCCAGCTTCCCTCTCTTGGAAGCTGGGTTCCAAGTGGTGAGCTCTGAATGAACAATCAACACTGTTAGTGTAGAGATTTTGGGGTGTTACAAAGCCTCTCCCCTGTTCCAGGGTGAAAGGCTTGGAATACATTAAATCTGGTGAAAGATCACTGTTGCGTCATGGTGGCAGAGAGAACTTGTAGGAAACAGTTACATAGTCAGTTTTTCAAGTTAACTGCTGTATTATGTAAACCTCTGAAATTATCACCTGTGTCTGCTTTTTATAGGTAACAGGTATGTTCAGATGTTTGTGAATGATGTACACTGGTTGTGTTTTGCAGCTTTTATTTGTTAGACACCAGTTCAAAATAGCATTCTTCAGTGAGCTGAAACAGGATACGCAGAATGCTCTCAAGTAAGACTCATGTAATCTTCCCCCACCCTCTCTACCCCAAGTTACTGCTAAGCCATAGACTATGGTAAACATTTTCCCAAATGCAAAATTATTTAAACATGTATGTAAGGGGTGAGTTCTTCACTGGGAAGAACACTCTGATTGGAAAACTGTTTTCTGCTGTCAGCAATCCTGTTCTTAAATTTTATTATCTTGTATGATGTAACTCTAATTAAATACTATAAGTATTCCTGCTTAGAAATTACAGAACTGCCTACAATCTTGTGCATGAATTGAGGGCTCATGAAACAAACATGCTGGAAATCAAGACCATGGCAGGATTTATAAACTACAAGGTAACAAGTGTACTTCTAATCTTTGACAACTTTTTTTTTTTAGTAAAAGTTGGTGCATCTTTAATGCGTAAAGGTTTAAAAGTTCCATTTTGTATTGCTTTTAAGGAGATAGATTAGAAACAGCTATCAGTGGAATACCAATTACACTCAGCCTTGCAAAGACTTCTGAACTCCCCACAAAAGAAAGATCCTTAGCTGAAGTTTGGGTGTATCTTGAAGGATTGGCATTCATTCGAGATGCAGTCATCTGAAAGACTAGATTCTCTTTAACTCTCACTCCGTGCAGGGGGAGTGAAAACAAGGGTTGCTTGTTCCTTGAATATTTTTGTCTTCTTGCAAAGCTTAAGGGAGTGTAGTTTAGTTACTGCTGGTTAGGAGGAGGAAAGCAACTCTTTAAGCATCAGACCATACTTTTGGTATTTTGGGGGCTTTTAGGTAAAAAACCCTATTCCACCATTTACAACAATCCTGGAGTTGGACTCCATCAAATTCCATTTGCAGACTGCAGGCTTCAAAGATGATGATCTTCCTAGTGGCTCTGCAGTTCCATCTTGAATTTGGTTGTGAGTTATGCACTCTTCCATTGGTGATTTGAAGGAGAAGGGGAAGAAAAATAACATTAGGTGAAATAGAGGACCACGTGGTTTTAGGCATCATACATCATGGTTTACATCTATTTTTCTCCCTCTGTTTTCTATGCTATTCGAGCTGTTCAGAAATATGTAAAATTAATTTGTTTGGGTTTTTTGTGGGTGGCGTTCTTGGGGTTTTTTTAACGCTAATCCTTAACGCAGCCTAACACAGTTTTTTTTCCTCTTATTTTGATTTCTTCTAGATCTGTCGCCTCTGTTTTCAGCATAATACTCCACTTGATGCCATAGCTCAGTTCAGGAAACATATTGATTTGTGCAAGAAAAAAATAGGAAGTGCAGAACTGGCTTTTGAGCATGCTGCCTGGATGTCTAAACAGTATGTTTTTGCTTAGTAATGTTTCTGTTTCAGTTCCTATATAACCTTATGAAGATCACTGTTTTACTTGTCTAGGCAAGATACAAATTCTGAGCTCTTCATCTAAGAAAGAGATACACTAGATCATAAAAACTGTATGCTGTCATTCTGTTTTGCATTGATTATTGACCACTTTTCTCTGGGAATGAACAGGATATGACACAAATGCAACCATAGAACTTAAATGCAAAAATTCAGAGAAGTATCATCTGTCTTAAGACTAACCAGAACTTTTAATTGAAATGTATCTTTGAGTTCAAATTACTGTTCTGAACATAACCTTGGTTATGAATTTTTTTTTTTAATAGGTTTCAGGCTTTTGGTGACTTGTTTGATGAAGCGATTAAGCTGGGATTGACAGCAATTCAAACTCAAAATCCAGGTTTCTATTACCAGCAGGCAGCCTACTATGCACAGGAACGGAAACAACTAGCAAGCATGCTTTGTAACCACGATGTAAGTTGGGAGGGGAGCAAATGCTTTGCAAGTAACCAGATAATAAATTAGCTAATGTTTTAGTAGCGGAATAATCTGTAATATGTGTAAATTAAATCCAAGGAAAGATAAGTGTTTTTCTGATGCTTACTAACATTACAAGTATTTGTTATGTATTGGAAAGGTTACTCCAGAACAAATGTGTTAGTGTTTATTTTATTACAAATAGTGTTTATTCTATTACAAATAATTCTGACATATTTTTAAAATACTTATTAAAAAACCCCTGTACTTTCTACATCTCTGGATACTTGAAAACTTACTGTTTTGGTTTTCCAGTATATTTCTCTATACATACATTGTATCTGGTGACTTACAGGAAGCAGAGAAACAAGAGCATTAGCATTAGAGTGGGGGGTGGCAGTGGTGGTGGTTGTTGTTTTGGGTTTTTTTGACTCTTGCCTGGCAGAAAGGGTTGTATGGAAAATCGATCTCTGCAGTCGATTAAATGTACATGCTAATTATATGTAGCTACTCTCCAGCTGACATGTCCCGATTATTTAAAAATATCTTTGTTCCTATTGGTGCTATTTATTTGTTCTTCTTGCATTGTCTTGTTAGGAACTAGTTTTAAAAAGGATTACCCAGTTATTCTTTAATAGTATTTGAGACGAATGGAGGTGAATGAAGTGGAATGTCAGACTGAGTTAATGAGAAGTATTTAAATGTTTCAGTTTCCTGACGTACTATTTTTATACAGGTGGATGGAAAGGTTATATGTTTTTAAAGCAAATTTTTTCTTTTATGTGCGTGTGTATTAGAGCATCAGATCACTTTGAATGCTTTAAATGAAACATGAACCCTTTTTTATGACCGTATTTTCTGAATTTACAGTCCTCTGTGATATATCCCAATCCGGATCCCCTGGAAATGCAAACTGGAGTGCTTGACTTCTATGGGCAAAGACAATGGCGGCAGGGAATATTAAGTACGTTTCTGTATCTCGTATCTTTGGAGTTCAGACAAACCAGTTGCTGATCCTGCCAGCTGATTTAGTGGGCATAAGCACGTAATTCCTTTTCCACAGAGCCAGATGTAGGGCTGGGAACTCACTCTCTTGTTAGTTAGTGATATGACTTGAACAGGTGTCCATTGGAAGTGCAGGAAGTGTGTTTGATCTCTATAACAAATAGAAAAAGGAACCTCAGGTTTATGCAGGATCAGGTCTTCAGCAAAGCTGCCTAGGCCATACTGAAGCTCTGCTGCTGCTTTGTTTCTATTGCTGCCTAAGCTACCTGTAATCAGTGTGCTGCGGAAATGCCTGGCTGTAGTGAAATTCATTATTCCTGGGAAGAGAAATTGGAGAACTGGATACAGCAAAAGTAACGATGTCCCTGAATGCAATTGTTATAAATTCATCCTGCCATCCATACTGTATCTTGTCAACTGTAGACAGGAACTCATGACTTTTTTTTCTGAAAAAGCTTTTTGGATTTTGAAATGGATTGAGAGGATACAATGACTAGATTTTAATCTAAGAAAGGAATTTGTGTTTTTCCTATTGAGGATGTTTTCTCAGAAATTCAGATTTTGAATGTACAGCTTTGAGCTATGTGTGAATACACATGCAGTTCTGAGATCTTCGTTGCTGGCTGTGGTTTTACTTCCCTTTCTGCCTCTCCATTTGGTCTCCTATTCTTTATTCTCTGCATATCCTTTGGCTTTGCCACTTTATCACTGCCTCTTTTAAAGACTTTATTTCATTTACTGTAAATACAGTACTGTCTAACCTTTTATCTTCAAGTGTTACTGTTTTAAAATTAGTTAGAATCTACTGCCAAGGTTAAACAGTTTAAGATGAAGAGAAACTTCACCTGTTAATATATTCAGGTTTTTTTCGTTCCAGCAGGAGTTTATAGTCTTTTAAGGCCCTATACAGATCTTCATATGTTGGCATTCTCTACTGCTAGAGAAACGTAAGCTTGAATCCTTACTTGAGATAGGAAAAGGGCTACAAATTTGTCTTAACATAAGTGCTTTAAATGTTAATAGATGCAGTCTAAAGACTAGGTCATCTTACTGTAGTTTGCTATTTTTGGGTAGCTTCAGATAACTTCTTTTAAACAAAAGGCAAGATATTTGTTCCAGAATTTCCCTTCTAGAACACGGAGGAGTTCTTAAAGTGATATATCAGTCTCCTAGGCAAAAGAATGTTTAAGAGTTTGAGTGTGCTTCAGTTGAAGCTTGCATTGCATATAGGTCACCACATAAATAGTTCCCTTTGGGTCCGGACAAAATTCCAATTTCATGGATTTTTTCATTGTCTTATGCAGGCTTCGATCTTTCTGATCCTGAAAAGGAGAAGATGGGGATTTTATCCCTGCAGTTGAAAGAGAAAAATGTTCTTCACTCGGTAAGTTTTATTCTATGAAAAAAAAAATTTGTTTTCTAACATTATCCTAATGTTTGCATATATAATGATATTGGTAATGGTTTTATCTGTTAGGAGCTAATAATCACTTTGTTGAGTAATGCTGTCGCGCAGTTCAAGAAATACAAATGTCCAAGAATGAAAAGTCATTTGAGTGAGTATAGATAATCAGATGCATTTTTAAAATTAATTTTGCAAAGACTTTCAAGATATTGAAAAATCTAATACATTTTTTAAATTTTTTTTTTATCAGTGGTTCAAATGGGAGAAGAATATTACTTCGCTAAAGATTATGCCAAAGCTTTGAAGTGAGTACCATCCATGATTGCTTCTTTCATATGCTATTCTTCTCACTAAGACCCCATGTCTTATCACTATGGAATAATGTTGGAAGCTCATCTAAAGTGCTCCTAGTACCTGGATTTGATTGAAATACAAGCTTTGGAGTCTACGAACTCCACTTATACCAAAGATATCAGAGAAAGCAAAACAGATATGAGGAGTCAGTTATTAGAGTAGGAAAACTTCCAGCTGTAAGCTGTTGTGGGGATTTGCCTTATTGGGCAAATATTATTTATTTCTAGCTCACTGGTTGAATGCTGTCTCTTTCTCTCTCTCCCAGAAGTGATTTCTGAAACTTGCCTGCTACTGCAATGAGAATATAGTTACATTTAATTACAGACTTTGTAGTTACAAAATACAAAAAATATGGAAATGTAGCTCAATTTAATTTTTGTTTATATACCAGAGAATGAGCAAAAGGAATTATTTTTATTGGTGTAGTTTTCTGCTATTAATGACTTCCGAGCTAGGAAAGCTTAGTGCTGAGGTACAGCTACCATGTTTTCTGAAGGATGTGTCTTATGCTTAGTTTCTTAACTTTGTATTTTTAAGGGGAAACAAAGTCAAGGTCATGTTAAGTAGGAGTCCCACAATGTTTTCATTACTTAGGTTTCAAAGATCGCATGTTGTAAAGGGAGTATGTTTGACGTAGGAGAGATGTCTTTACTGTTGTTACTAGCTGACTGGAAGCTACATGGAGGAGAAGATGGGCTGGGATAAGCAAATCATAGAATCATAGAATCATAGAATCATTAAGGTTGGAAAAGACCTCTAAGATCATCGAGTCCAACCGTTAAGTTTGGATCAGTTTGTATCAAGCCTAATTTTTATATGAACAAGCATTTCTTATTTATGTTTAGGTAGATTTTTCTGAAGTAGGCAGAAACTCTTGTCTTGAACAGTAGAGCAGAGTTTAAAAAAAATTAACTTCTCTGCTTTGCTAATAATAGCAAACATTGCTCAGTATTAAAACCATACTAAGGTATTTTGCCTGATAAAGTGTGATGCTTGTGGTGTTTGTAGATCTTTGAAACCCTTGAAGGGAGCAGGGAGTAGGAGGAAAAGAAACATCTCATCTTAAGGACCATTAAAATCTTTCCGTTTGAAAGGGGACTTTATTGTGGGGTTTTGGTTTGTTTTTCTTAAAACTTACCGCATACTCAATGGTGAAGCATATTTTTAGTGCAATGCTGCACTAAGACTCTTCTATCCGTTGCTGTTTTGATAGTTCTTTGTGAAGACAGGTGAGTTTTCTTGTTGTTCTCTTGTGAAAATTGTTCTAGCCTGAAATAGAAAATTCATCGAATAAATGTGTTTCTTTACAATAATTTCATGCTGTTTTCAATAAATTGTTGCCATATGTAAACAGTAGGATTGACTTTAATCTATCATTTGTACTAGTGAAGATGAATTTAGTGTTAATGATACCAAATAAATGCGAGCTTCTAAAACATATTGGTGTGTATAACTTGTTTTTTCTCTCAATTTTACTGTGTTGCAGGCTCTTGGATTATGTTATGTGTGAATATCGCAGTGAAGGATGGTGGACTCTTCTCACTTCCATATTGACGACAGCTCTTAAATGTTCATATTTGATGGCCCAGCTAAAAGATTATATAACGTACTCTTTAGAGCTACTGGGTAGAGGTATTCTTTTAAAAAATATACTCAGCCTATACAGAAAAATTAAAGTGCATGTGTTTGGAAGTCTGACAAACCATTGTCAGACACAGTGCTTACAGTACTTCAAATGATTTGACTACAAAATAACTGTATACCTGTGCTGAATTTTTGCTACCTTCTCTCATATGCTGGAAGTTGAATTTTCTTGCTCTTCTATTACAAAATTCATTGCATCCAAATAGACTGTGTCAGGATATCTGAGGCACAGAGCTTTGTTTAAGACTGTTCAAATAATGTAACAGAAACTTCCTGAGCTTTGGGATGGGGAAGAACTGTAGTATAGCTAAAGGGGAAAAACATTTTTCCTAGTAAGTACCAAAGCTAGCACCATTTTTCTGGACTTTAAAATCCCAAATAGGCTGCTCTCAGCTTTTTTTACTAGAACTCTGCTGATGAAATAGGCATGTGGTATGTTTTAGGGAAAAACATAGGGTGGCTGCACAGTAATAATGCAAGCACTTTGCTTCGTATAATGTCTGTTACTTCACACTGCAGAAATAATCCTTTTGTGCCCCAAATTGCTGACTAATACTACTATTAGGGTAGGTATGGTAAAAATGGGTTTGCATCTTCTGTTAGCTAGCCAGGCTACTCTGCTTTGTATTAAAGAATAGCCAATGAGACAAACCCACCTTTCTGCATCTTCAAGAGAAGAGTGCTTACTTCAATTAGTCCTTTTTACTTTCTGTCACCTTCTCTAGTTGTTGTTTCTAATATTGTCTGAGCTTGCCTTTTGCATGTCCGAAACTTTTCTGGTTTCTGCTGTTTCTTCCATTTTTAAACATAAAAAACATGAAGGTATAGGCATTATTCTTTTGGGGTTTTCCTCCAATAAATTATGAAATGCTTGTCTAACCAAAAATATTTTACTTGGTTCCAGTGGAAGTGGGGAAAGTTCTGAAAACTGAACGAATCCTTCATTACTGGTAGATGGATGTTAGAATTTTTTTCCCACAGAATGTGTTTTTTTTGAAAGATGCAATCTAAAGGAAAGATTTTTTTTTTTTTAAGTTTTTAAAAAAAAATTGTAAGAGGACTTGCTTCTCTCTTGTAATCTTTGGTTTTGTTCTGTTTGCTAGCATCTACTCTTAAAGAAGATCAGAAGTCTCGAATAGAAAAAAATCTGATAAAAGTTCTAATGGTAAGTGGCAAAACTCCTATTACCCTTTTAAATAATCTGAAGAGTAGTCAGTGTTTGGTAGCCTTCTTTTATTGTTATTTATAACCTTCTGTCTGGATACAGAATGAAAGCCCTGATCCTGAACCTGATTGTGACACTGCTGCTGTGAAAGCATCACAAAAATTGTGGGCTGACCGTGTTTCCTTGGCAGGCAGTAATGTTTTTACAATAGAAGTCCAAGATTTTATACCATTTGGTAAGTAAGAAAGCAAATTTACACCAGATTATAAATTTCCATGTAGTTACCTCTTGAAAATAACTAATTAGGAGAAAATATAAAGTGTGTATTAAAGCCAGCAACATTGAAACTCTTGTTTCAGCACTACTCTGTTTTTCATCTAAATCGGTAGTCGTGAGAGAAGCCAGTGGTCTCTTATCCCCAATATGGATTACTAAAGAAGAATCCTTTGAGCATTGTGTCTGAGGGGAAAAACACCTCTGAACTTCCAGCTGAGGCTACCTACGCGTTTAAACATGGTAGAAGTAGTAAACCCTTGTTTTTTGAAAGAATTCTGCCATTCTGGTGTGCTTTGAAGTAGGATTCTGAGGAAAGAGGGCAGAATGCGTGCAAATTAATACTCCCCATAGAAAGGGGGCATGAGTGAGCATTACTTACAAAACAAGTGTATCTAAGTGTACAGGATTACTTTTTTCTGCTGGTTGTCTGCCTCTTCTCTGCAAAGGTTTCAATCAAGTGCTGAAAAGTGGCTTTCTGTGGCAGTGTTAGTAGCCAAATTTGTCCCACTTACATACAAACCAAAGTTTTAAGAGTACACACAGAACAATCCTTACCACGATTATTTCAAGAGTGTGCTTCTGGAAGTAGTAGTAGTTTGTGTTTAACACCTACTTCTTGGGTTTTGTGTTTTGGTTTGGTTTTTTGGTTGTTTTTTTTCCTTTTTTTTTTTTTTTTTTAATTCCAGTGCAGTGCAAAGCAAAATTTCTTGCTCCTAGTTTTCATGTTGATGTTCCTGTGCAGTTTGATGTATACTTGAGAGCTGATTGTCCTCATCCTATCAGGTTTTCTAAGCTCTGCATCAGTTTCAATAATCAGGTAACTGTGTTCTATCTATCTCTGACCTAGTGATAGTAGCTTATTATAAGAATGGAATAATATCTATTAGTGGTTTTAAACATAAAGAAATTCAAAAGTTCTTTTCAAAAAATTATGTTAATACTTAAGTGGTTTTTTTTTTGCGTTATCTATCACTTTTGACAAGTATATTGATACTGTGATAAAACTCCCAAATGCAGTTTGATTAGTTTGTCGATCATATCTTTCTCTATGAAGTGCTCTAAAGTTTCAGAAGGATCATTTTAGTGTCTTATTTCTCCTTATGTTCTTGCATAAAGTTACATTAATTAATATAATGGATATCTTGTGTTAAAGAATTGCACTGTAATTACTTGCTAAGTCTAACTTACATAGTGTGAAAAGTAGCAAAAACCCATATAGCTTGTTCCAGTAACACAGAGCCTTAACATTTGCTGTACTATCGTTACTCTCTAAAGATGTCTTAAGTCTGGATTTATCAACTTTTTTCCCCACTCCTCCATTGTAGGATTACAACCAATACTGTGTGGTAGAAGAAGCCTATCAAAAAAGTGATATTCTAGAACAGTCATCGCAAGGAACGATGTGCTTAGTTCCTGGCAAAACAAGAAAGTTCACTTTCAAATTTGTTGCAAAAACTGAAGATGTAGGAAAAAAGGTTGAGGTTTGTCAATTTGTTTTACACCTCTTACTGATGCCTACAAAGAATTCAAAACTACAAAGCTGCCTCTAATCTGGCACCAGTTACGAATGTCACTGGTTCACGCAGTTCGAAATGTTTGAATTCTTGAAACTAAGTACCAAAAATGAGAGTAAAATTTTATTGACAATACCAAAGCAAAAAATTATCACAAGAGCTTAAGTATTGCTTCAAGTTTGTTTGGTGTGTTGGTTTTTTTTTTTTTTTAAATATGTGCATACGCTGAAAAAAAAAAAAGGGGGAAGGGGTGGTATAGCACTATGGGAGGGTAGGAAACTACAAAATACTACACTGCACACACATGAGCACAGATACTTTTCCCACCACTGTTTCATTAAATGAAATCCTGGAGTGGTGAGGTGTCTTCAGTCTGCAAACCTGCCAGAAGCTTTTTGGTGATATACAGGCACAATAAAGATGTGCATGTTGGAAAACGATATTGTTACAGTAGGTGATCTGAAGACAAAGTTATCAGTATGTGTTCCAATTTGTGTCTATCAGATCACCTCTGTGGATTTGATCCTGGGAAGTGAATCTGGCCGATGTGTGATTCTGAACTGGCGTGGAGGAGGTGGAGATGCTGCCTCATCCCAAGAAGCATTGCAGGCAGCACGTTCCTTCAGGCGAAGACCTAAGCTTCCAGATAATGAAGTGCACTGGGACAGTTTGGCTATTCAGGCAAGCACTATGTGAGTAAAAACTTGAAAATATATATGATATATCATTGTTAGTCTCCTGCAAAGTCCTGATCCCTCTGCCTAAAAGAAGAAGAAAGACTTGTTGGGACTTCTTTAATATGAGCTTTTTAATATGTCTTTGCTTAACTGGGGATAAGATAGTACCTATCTTAATTCTTTAGGACTTTTGAGGCTCCAGATAGCTAGGAATGCAGAAAAAGTTTGCACTGATCTCTGAGCATACCAAGTATCCTTTAGTTCTCCTCTTCACGTAACTTTGCTGGGCAGACTTTTCCCAGCAAAAGGGAATTTGCATTTTTGTGCAAACTAGGAGGTGTTATTCTCTTACAAAAGCCATCACACAAACAAAGAATCCCTGAGAAACTGTATTGGAAAATAGGCTAATATTAATTTAGATGTATTCAAAAGAATTAAGTCTGATTGCTGTTGGTGGGGGTGCTTTTTTCTTTCCTGCCGGAACATCTGAACCATCAGTGCTTATTACTGGGGTTCCAAACTGGTTTTATAGAGTTGTTCCCATCATGTTGTGTTTCAGGGATCTCACATCTCCTAGTTGAATAGGCCACCAGTTGTCAGAACTCTTAAACAATAGGCTGTTTTAACCTCTTTAAACTAGGCTTAAAAACTTCTTATTTAAGAAACATACAATAACTGAGTCTTTTCTCTTGAAGGATTATTTCTAGAGTGCCAAACATTTCTGTTCAGCTCCGTCATGAACCTCCTGCTCTGACTAATGAAATGTATTGTTTGATTGTGACAGTCCAGTCACATGAGGAGACAGTGGCCAAAGATGTTAAGCTTACAGCAGGTTTAAAGCCAGGTATTTGGGGTTACTTTCTCTTAATCCAGCAGTCTCCTAATTGACTCCTTGTCCTTGGTGCAATGCAGAGAAATACAGTAAATGGCTCTCCAGTAATTAAGAGCCAAACCAAAGTGAAGGTTAGGAATGATGAGATACTAGTGGTAAGAACAAGAGCTAACAGACTCATTCAGTTATGGTTATCTTGACCACTGCTTGTCAGTAGTGTTTACATGGGCATTTTCAAAAGATAAGTCTTTAAAAGTTCGAAAGAAAACATGGAAGCTTTTGTATTCCTTCCTAACCTCTTATTTAATTTGCTCATAACTAGATTTTTCTTCTCCCATGAGATAGATCTTTTTCTTGCTGAGATGAAAGCATTAGACAGTGCTAGATAAATGTTTTCTAAGTATAGTCTTTGTGGGTTTTCTCCCCCACCCACCCCTCCTTTTTTCCCCCACCCTGGACAATGCGGTTTGGTTTTTAAACCACTTGAAACTTGGGGAGCAGTGGAGTACTGAGACAGTATTCCTTCGAATGAAAAGGAAAAAATGCAAGTATTTTATGTCGAAGTCCTAGTGAGTGTATGTAGTTACTGCTGACAGTTTTCAATATGCGAAGTCCAAATGTTATACTCAGCATGCATATTTGTAGCAATTATCCTAAAAGGCAAAAATATTTTTAAGCCACTAGCATATAGGATGCAATATGTGCTGTGTACTCTGAAATAGAACCACATTGCCTATACAGTTGTACAGTTCATTAAAGTCAGTGGAGTGTACTTTAAACTTATTTAATTGGATGTTTGGGCTTGGCTTCTAAAGCAGTGTTTAATAGTTGGTCTTGATTTTTTTTTTTTTTTTCCTTCCCACTTGATCTTGACTCAACACATGATATGCAAGGTCAGTGTGGGCTTGCTGATTACATTAAAAGGGCAATTGAAATTTGACATTTCATTTATAGGGAAGGTGATATATTTTCCACAGTTGCAGCTATTTGGCAAGATGTGGCTTGTTTTTGCTTTGAAAATTATCCCATATGCTTGCAGTAATGCCATTATTCTAATCAACCTCTGACTGAAGAATGGTTTCATTTAACATCTGTACATTTGTTTTTACGTATTTTCCACACAGATTTGGAAGAACAATTTTTGAAAGATGTAAAATCATTAAGCCATGTTCTTGAAAACAAAAGAAACACAGAACAGTGAAACTTCCTTTTTACTTCATATAGAGTACCAAGAAAAACTTGGATCACACAGTTATGTTGTGTTTTGTATATGGTAGGGAACATCTAGATATGATTTCTGATTTTTGAGGTTGTTTTTTTTTTTTTTAAATCTGGCCTAAATAGATGAAACAAAGACCTTGCAGGATGTGAAGCCTCCAACTTAGAAAACTTAAGGTGTTGTCAAATCTACCCTCTGCTGGTACTTTTTGAAAGATTCCCTCAACCAAATGAACAATGTTAATTCCTCATGCATTGCTTTTTGAGATTAATATCTTATTATTTTTAGCTATTGCTTTCATGCTTCAGTGATGTAAGCCTGTGTGGATATGAAGACTGTTTTTAATCCTAGGGCAAGATGCCAACCTGACTCAGAAAACTCAGGTGACTCTTCATGGAACAGATGCATGTGATGACTCCTTTCCTGCACTGCTTCCTGATATTCCTGTAGGAGACTTGCAACCAGGGGAAAAGGTGAAGGCTTAAAACCTTCTTTCTATATCACACTTCAGAAAATGGGGATCAACTGATAACAGACTCTCATAGAAGAACCTATGTTTACTTTCAGATATCTGAACCGATAAATAAAATACTTAGGCGTATTTTACCTATTGTTTACTTGTAGTTTAATATTTCTTTAGCTAGATCCCCTTTTGGACTAAATTTGGGAATAAGGTATATTCTGGGATTGATGATATAGCTGGGAGATAAGAAATAAAATAAGGAGGCTAATCTCAACTGCTAATTAAATGCACTGCCTAATGGACAGTAGATGATAATATCAGCAAGTGTGATTCAACGTGGTAGAGGATCAAATACACAGATGTTGCACCAAACTCAAATTGTGACTAGTAAATT